TTTTTCCTCCAGCCTGGGCCGCCTTATTAAATATATTTGCAAGCCATGTCTCCACGCCCTGGCTTCTTAACCAAGAGTGCTGAAATTGAAGCCACTTTATGTATGACATGGCCGTGGGCATTTTCTTCCTCTTGGGGAGAACAAACAAGGCTCCTTTTAAGAGTAACCCTCTCTTAATTTCCACCAGATTCCCAAAGGTGTCTTAAATCAAAGAAAGGTTAAGAAAGCTGTGCTAACAGAAAACTCTTCCCTCCACATCAGAGAGGTGTGGATCAATCTTATTATAAAATCCCTTCCATTGCTGTCCACCTGAAACTAACACAACATTGTAAATCAGCTATACTCCAATAAAAAAATTTTTAAAAATCCCTCCCAGGGACTTTCCCAAGTTAACTCTTTACTGTCTTTGCCCTCCTAATCTTTTTTTTTTTCCAATCTGTAAGTATTCTTTACTTTCATTAATATTTTCAGAGGTATATTTTCCACTGAAATGTATCAAAGTTGTGTTAAAAATATTTCTAGTTCCTTACAATTCAGTGTCCCCCATATTTTTCACTGACAATTAGGTCAGTGACCTAATACTATGAATGTATTGGGAACAAGTTGTAAGAATACCACTTCGTTTTTTGTTTTGTTTTGTTTTTTTCCGGGAGAAATAAGATCATTTTTATTGGTATTATTGCTGTGGGCAAAATGAGGCTAATAATAAAAGTTTGGGCCAGTGACTATTTGGGCTTACTATTTACAAAGTTGCAGTAATAATAATTGTGTACATATATATAGTATTTTCTAGTAGAAGCAGCACTTTAGCACATACTAACTCATCTTTTTTAATAACAGCTTTATGGGCTTCCCCGGTGGCGAAGTGGTTGAGAATCCACCTGCCAATGCAGGGGACATGGGTTCGATCTCTGGCCTGGGAAGATCCCACATGCCGCGGAGCAACTAAGCTCGTGTGCCACAACTACTGAGCCTGTGCTCTAGAGCCCATGAGCCACAACTACTGAGCCTGTGTGCTGCAACTACTGAAGCCCACGTGCCTAGAGCCCGTGCTCCACAATGAGGGAAGCCACTGAAATGAGAAGCCCGCGCACCGCAACGAAGAGTAGACCCCGCTCGCCACAACTAGAGAAAGCCTGCGTGCAGCAACGAAGACCCAACACAGCCAAAAATAAATAAATGAATAAATAAAATTTTTAAAAAATAACAGCTTTATGAAGGAGACAGGTATTATTCTCTGTGACTAAGTGAAGTCAGACAAAGAAAGACAAATATCATATGATATCACTTATATGTGGAATCTAAAAGAATAATACAAACGAACTTATTTATAAAACAGAAACAGGCTCACAGACTTAGAAAACAAACTTATGGTTAGCAAAGGGGAAAGGTCGGGGAGGAGGGATAACTTGGGAGGCTGGGCTTAACACACACACTACTATATATAAAATAGATAAACAACAAGGACCTACTGTATAGTGCAAGGAACTATACTCAGTACTCTGTAGTAACTTATATGGGAAAATAATCTGAAAAAGAACAGATATATGAGTATGTGTAACTAAATCAGTTTGCTGTACACCTGAAACTAACACAACACTGTAAATTAACTATAGTTCAACATAAAATAAAAAAATTTAGAAAAGCATACCACTTCTTAACTCTTTATAGAAGCATTTCTAAATCTGCAAATAAAGCCCTAGCAGAAAGAAATATAAATGTAAGACGACATAGGAAAGGAACAGAGAATCACGAAATCTAAGACTTGCCAAGAAACTAAGAGGTTATTTTTCTCTGCCATCCACTGCTGGAATTCTTATTATGGTTTCTCCAACAAATCATCATGTAATTATTATTCAAAAACCTCCAATGACAAGGAATTCACTGTCGCACAAGGCATTTTACTCTACCGTTGTAATCTCTGAATTCCTAGGAGATTGATCCTTCAAGTTAGGCAAAATCTCACTTCTACTTAGATTGCTTGAGAAATCTAGGCAACTGGATTCCCTCATGTATTTAGATTATCTTTCAAGAAGTTTAAGGTAGTGTCTGAGTCTCTCTTTATCCTGATTGTGTTGAGAGAGCACAGTATCCTGCATCCTGCTTACTTTTGTCAGTCTCCTGATCCTGTGCAGGGGGACTAATGACCAGAGAATCAATGACCCAGAGAATCAATAGAAGAATGAATGAATGAGCACTTATCTTAGTTGTGTCTCTGTAGGAGAAAGAGATGGTAGGAAAAGTCCAGCATCCTCAATCACTGAGTCTCCCAGCACTACCTACTACAACAAGAGGTCCCTAGAGCAATTGTGGTGGGGCAACGTGGGCGAGGATAGTGATTCTCTGAGATTGAGTAAGGGGATGGGGGACACCCCATTACTAATCATGGCTTGGACACCCATTTCCTGTATCTTAGACTGAGCTGCAAGGCCTGTACTTTTACACTAGCCCTGAGATCTAACCTTAAACCAAAAAACAAGGCACAAATATCTCCTTGCTTCCTGCATTTAGCCAGGGTTTAAAACATGTAAATGCCTATGGGGTCAGGTAGAGCCTTCAATGAAGTGAGGCATTAGAGTATAAGAAAATAAAGGTTAAGGCAGAATTCAAGAATGCCTTCCCAACCAGCAAGGACCTGCTGTATAGCACAGGGAACTATACTCAATATTTTGTAATCGCCTATAAGGGAAAAGAATCTGAAAAAAAAAAGTTATATATGTATATATAACTGAATCACTTTGCTGGACACCTGAAACTAACAAAACATTGTAAATCAGCTGTACTTCAATTAAAAAAGAGAAAAGAATGCCTTCCCAATATATGCTGTCTTTCAAAATATAACACTCTTAGTTTACCCCTTATGGTCAAGAATACCTACTAGACTTGGGGAGGGAAGACTGAATCCCAGCTCTCTCCTTACTTGCTGTGGGATTTTAAGCAAGTTATTTAATGTCTGGCTATATGCCTTAGATTCTACAACTCTAAGATACTGATTCTGTTAATACCAGTAATCACACAGGATTATTGTGAGGCTTAAGTGCTCTGTACTAATTAGAATAGTGCCCAGCATAGAGTTGAATATCTATATTATAATAGACTATACGGAGTAATATATATGTAATGTGATATAGTTATTTCCGTTACACAGTCTGTAACCATAAGCATGATCCTGCAGAACAACACCTAAAAGGTGCTTTTGGGGAAATCTGACATCTCAGTTCTCTGTAACCATCTGACTATAGTCCAGTCCCAACAGAGCAGGATGATCTAGTTTAGAGGAAAGATTGCTGGGCTGACTATCCAGAGACCTGGCATCTGGCCCTAGCTGTGTCATGAATTAACTGGCTGGCCTAGGTTAATCCGTCAATCCATGCCTTAGTGTCCTCAGCCAGCCTTATTGACCTTACAGAGACATTTTAGGGGCAAGAGTTAAAAACTGACATGTTGCTATAATGGTCCTAATCATACAGAGTTCTGCTGATAAATAAGAGGTCTAATAACCCATAAGGTTTTCCTTTTCTCTTGCAGTCTTTCAAGACCAGGCAGTCTTGGATGACCATTCATTACCCTAGTTTCTCTATCTCCTTTTTTTCTTCCCTTCCATGTTGCTTTTAGGATGAATGAGTCCTTTAGAGTTAGCCATTGTTATTATTATTGTAAATCAGGCCCGATTCAACCCACAGGTCCACCAGTTTTGAACCTTGCTTGAGGTCCACATATCATTCTTCATTATCTAGTTCATACCTAGTTGGAAAAGATGACACAAGGAAGAATAAACCCAAGTAAAAGTAGAGCAAGAGAAATTTCTAAAGTTTCCACATAAGGTCTAGAGAGGGCACAATGTGTGCTGTGTATCCCCAGCTTCCTGTATGCTCCCTGCCAGTGCCACAGTCCATCCCTGTGGTGGATGGTTCAAAAGCCCAAACTCATCTCATTATATAGCAAGTTACAAGAGGGGAAAAGAAATTCTCAATCATAGAAAAGTGTTCTTTGAGACCATACTACAGGGATGTCCACATCTGCCCTCTTCGCCTGTTCCAACTGTTCTCTAGGAGTTTGATCTGAGTGTCCTTGGTCGTGACTACATAAACTGTCCTCATCACTGCAGGGTAGAATTATGTAGTGTGAAGAACAAACCTGGCTTCTGCTAACAGCCATCAAAACTGATGCCCTGGGCTTCCCTGGTGGCGCAGTGGTTGAGAGTCCGCCTGCCGATGCAGGGGACACGGGTTCATGCCCTGGTCTGGGAAGATCCCACCTGCCGCGGAGCGGCTGGGCCCGTGAGCCATGGCCGCTAAGCCTGCGCGTCCAGAGCCTGTGCTCCGCAATGGGAGAGGCCACAACAGTGAGAGGCCCGCGTACGGCAGAAAAAACCAAAAAAAAACCAAACACACCAAAAAACTGATGTCCTTCAACAGTCCTTGTACTCATTGGGTTCTAGCCCCTTTATCATTCTAATCTTCACATATTTCCTTTTGTCCACATTCTTTCCAAAATCTGATTCTCAGCACCCAGCCCCATACTTCACAAGGTTATGACTCACACACACTACTTTTCTCTAAGACCCAGGCATTCAGCTTTTATTAATACAGCCTCTGCATTTATGCCAGTTGCTTTAACAGTCCTCAGTAAAGGATCCTGCAGCAAAGACGACAGGATATATGTGAGGAGTGTCGTTCTGAAATTCAGATACGCTGATGATATGCTCCTTTACACTTAATGGATTGCAGCACAGAATAAATAATAAAGAATGACTGCTACACAGTTGAAGCAAATTAAAGTCAATGTATTCGAGACTTCAGCAGTGAATTGACACAGCTCCTGAATACCAATTGCAACTCATAAAGGAAAAGCACAATCAAAGGTTGGACTGGAGATCTGGAAAGACACTGCCCAGGTGGGACCACATTAAGCTGAAATTATGCAGAGTTCTGGAGGGTATGTACTGGCCCTCCAGCACAGAATAACACTCCATCAGGCTTCATGCCAACAGAACTCACCATTCTTGCAGAGCAAGACAGCCAGGTATCCCTGAGAAGAAGAGTTGATACAGAGCAGGAGGCTGGGTGCCTGGGCTGTCACAAAGCTCAATGCAATGTTTTCTTTGGATGGGGCTGCATCTGCATAAATCGCTGAGGAAGAGAGGCTTATATTCTTGGTCACCGGGTAGGGTTCTTGAAACATGTAAGTCACTGAAGTACCAGCCTCAAAGACAGCAGAAACCTCTGCAAAATATCAGAGGGGAAAGCACACATTAAAACATTTGGTCGAGTGTTCAGGAGAGCCATCATTGCTTGTTTCTTGTTTCCTGTGCATCGGTCACTGTGTGAGAGTTTTTATATGAATTATAGAATATGCTTCCCACAATAATTTTGAAGTGGCAGAAATCACCATTTCTATTTACAGATGAAAAACATGAGGCTTGCCGGGGTTAAGCACCTTGAACAAGGTTGTGTGGCTAGAAGAGAGAGCTCAGATGTGCACTGTAAAATGTAGGACCAGTTTCACATATATCTGCAGAATAACTACCACATGCCCGGCTGATTTCTCAAGAAACAAAGAGGAGATGTCCCGGCCTCCTGCATAGTAGAGAGAAATTGCACCAGGATTATCTTACTTTCAAAACTGAAATCCCAACAATTCTGGTTTATGTTTTTCTCGTGGGTCAGGAGGGTGTTAAGTGGGCTCAAAACTACTAAGAGTAGTACATTGGGAAAGAAAGTAATTCTCTATGGTGTTGGGTAAAGTGTGAAGACCCGTGGAAATGGAGGAGAGGAAATCTGTGGAAAGAGTAGGAAAGGCATAGGTATCCAATTCCTGGACTCAATTATTTTATTTTAATTTTTTTTAATTTGAAGGATAGTTGATTTACAGTATTCTGTTAGTTTCAGGTGTACAGCACAGTGATTCAATTTTACATAATATGTATCTATTCTTTTTCAGATTCTTTTCCCTTATAGGTTATTACAAAATATTGAGTATAGTTCCCTGAGCTATACAGTAGGTCCTTTCTGGTTATCTCTTTTATATATAGTAGTGTGTTTAGGTTAACCCCCAAATCCTAATTTATCTCTCCCCCCTTTCCCCTTTGGACTCAATTATTTTAAATATCTAGGGAATTGGTTTTCAATTCCAAAATAGAGCAAAGACTTTGGCAAATAGGCATTCCCATGGGAAACAATTCCTACAGCACAACATAGAGGATACAGATCTGCTATCACCATTGGGAAGGGAAGCCTCTACAGACTGATGACATTCAATTAGCAGGAGCAGGAATCACCCAATCCTCCCTGTATAATGTCTTCACTCCAACTGCTATCATTTTAGTTCAGTGGAATCAGCAAGGATCCAGTTTCACCACTGGATCTGAAGCCTCCTTTGATTTCATACTAGCTGTGTGGTTCCAGGCAAGTTAGTCAAACCCATAGAGATGGTTTTCTCACCCGGCAAATGGGAAACATAACACCTCCCTCAACAATATTTCTGGGCGGATAAACGAGAGGATATGTTAAAGCACTTAAGAGAGTTACCACCATAGTTTAAACATACAGACTCTCCATATTAGAAGAGAATTCAACCTCAACCCATACTAATGCCCATCACAAAATATATCTGTTTGATGACTGAACATGCATCCAAGTGCTGGGATATTTTCTTCTTTGAATCAGGGCTGCTCTTAAGTTTACTTTCAATTTTATCTCTACACAGTATCAGGGCATGGAGCAAAGGTTCCTCGGTAGAACAACAGAGCTTGGATCTGCAACAAACCTCTGCTATGAAAACAGCACATTAGACATGAATCTATTTTGTTTTTCTTTTTTTTTAATTGAAGTATAGTTGACTTACAATGTTGTATTGGTTTCAGGTGTACAGCAATGTGATTCAGTTATACATACATATATATATATTTTTTTCAGATTCTTTTCCCTTATTACAAAATATTGAGTATAGTTCCTTGTGCTATACAATAGGTCTTTGTTGGTTAAAAAACACATGAGTCGGGCTTCCCTGGTGGCGCAGTGGTTGAGAGTCCATCTGCCGATACAGGGGACACGGGTTCGTGCCCCAGTCTGGGAAGATCCCCCATGCCACGGAGCGGCTGGGCCCATGAGCCATAGCTGCTGAGCCTGCGCGTCTAGAGCCTGTGCTCCGCAACGGGAGAGGCCACAACAGTGAGAGGCCCACATACCGCAAAAAACAAACAAACAAAACAACATGAATCTATATTGGCATAATTAATTTCTCTTTTTCCTGAAAGATTGAGTATCCGCAATTCCCCATGAAGTTCTCTGATTGAGTTGGTGGCACCTAGAACATGATCAAACCTGGCTTTTGCTTCCTAATTCCATTGCAAATTTTTTCTACCTTTGTGAAAATTCTGTAACAGCCTGTCACGGTGCCAAAAAAATTAAAGTTGCATATTTATGCATATTGCTTAGCAGACTGGGAGACTGGGAATACCGGTTCCTTTTCACTAAAGATTCAGAGAAAGTGTTCTGCATTTTGCATGCAGGTTAGAAAATCATTGGTGCTCCTGATTACAGAGATATGTGCAGAAACTGGCGACAGGAGGGTTCTAGTTGATCATCAGCTAGATTCAAGCACTCTTCTCAAGTGAATTTCCTTGGGGACATTTGGTCTGCCTTTTGAGCTACTATCTCCTAGTTAACAGAGTAATGGTTTTTATGGGATATTCATGTGTGTGTTCAAATGTAAGTATAATTCAGATCATTCTGTCATGAATAGTATATTAGATACAGGCATTCATATTACATTTTTTCCTTATACTTAAGATAGGAAATTAAAATGAAAAGCACTTTTAAACTAGAGCTGCCCTACCAAATTCTGTCTTCCCTCCTCCCCAGCCCCAGTTGTATTTTTATTTATTTAGATATTGTGAAGTTCAACCTAAAACTAAATTCAGCAAAATACCTGGATTTGATTATTCTCTCATTTTCTTTTCTTTTATAATCTAAGAGTTTGAGCTCTCTGATCATATTTGAGCTCTCTGATCATATTTGAGCTCTCTGATTGATTTATCTGAACATCTGAAACCACTGGGCTAAATGAAAGAAAAATCTTCACTTGAAGGTGATTATTACCAATGACCATCATGCTACTCTAGGGCCATGGTAACCAATATTAGCAACATTCTTTGAGTACCTACCTGGTGGAAGAAACTGCTGATTAGGTTCTGAGAAGACAGGACACACATGAAAAGAAATAAGACCGATGGAAGGTGGCCTTGGATGTGATGTGTGAATGACAGAGACATTGAGTCCCAGAGTTGAATGCCTCTGTGGGCGGGAGCAGCGTGAGAAGACCTGAAAGAGGAGCTTGGTATTGACTAGGCCTTAAAGTGTGTAGTGAACTCAGAGCAGATGCTATGAGTCAGGGTGGTGCTGGAGAGGCTGTGTATCTCCAAGGCAGCCTTGGAGTCAGATTGACGTGGGCCTGGACCCTATCTGTGCACTCCTCTTGCTTTCTCATGAGATCCCATCAACTGCTGGCTATTCATACACAAACAAGGATGAATTCAATCTCGTGGTGGGCAGACAGGTTGGAAGAGAGGATGTAAAGGGACAGCACATAGTAGGAACTCAATAAACAACAGCTGGTCTTAATAATAGTAATAGAAATAGATTTAGAATTAGAATAAGTATAAAGACCAGGCCTTAATGAATAGGCTAGCGTTTCCATAGAAATCAGTCTGTCTGTAAGTAATTCAGAATAACTTCAAACAAACTGAAAATAAATGAAAGAAATGGGAATTTGAATGCTGAGTGGATATTTCATAGTATTAATAAGTTATTAAAATTGTCTTACTATAACAGTCCTGTGGATACATATTTTTATGTCATCTTTTAACAATACATATTGCAGTATTTATAGAACTGATGTGATATCTGGAATTTGCTTCAAAATAATCAAATTTCCTGGTGGTCCAGTGATTAAGAATTCACCTTCCAATGCAGGGGATGCAGGTTTGATCCCTGGTTGGGGAACTAAGATTCCACATGTTGTGGGGCAAGTAACTACTGAGCCCATACACTCTGGAGCCCGCATGCCACAACTAGAGAGAAGCCTGCACACCACAATAAAGAGCCCACATGCTGCAACTAAGACCCGACACAGCCAAATAAATAAATAAATAAATAAATAAATAAAGTAATAATAGGAGGAGGGATGTTAGGCTATAGACGAAATAAAAATGATCATGAGTTAATAGTTGTTGAAGCTAAATAATGAATGCATGGAGGTTCTGAAACCCTCCTACTATAGTGCATAATTAAATTTTTCTGTAATAAAAAGCAAAAAAAAAAATATATAAGATGGCAGGAAGGTATATATTATAGAATTTTTTCAACAGGCTTTTGGCAATTGCTAAAATTACCCAAATATGTATACTATTTTTTCACTGAAATTCCATTATTAAGGGAATAATAAATACATGTGTTTATCACAGCATTATTTATGTGCAAAATTTGGGGCAATCTAAAATTCCAAAGCAATAGTAAGAGCATTTACTGAGACTTTATAGGCCAGGCATTATCTCAATTGTTATGTGAAGTGCTCGTTAAATTTCCATCACAATCTTTCATGAAGAATTCCTGAATTTTCCACATTTTACAGACAAGAAAACCAAGGAATTGTGAGGTTGAATTACATAACCAGTGTCACACAGTGTAGACTGTAGATGAGCCAGAATCTGAACACAGGCAGGACTGGTACCAGAGTTCTACTACTGCTACACTAAAATGTTCTGTGATATAATAGGTCAAATACACAGAAGCAATTCCACCAGATGGAATATATTGCAATCATTAAAACTGATGAATTATACAGGAATGGCTATGAAATGAAATAAAGAAAATTCAGAATATAAAATGGAATAGACAGAATTATCTCAGCTACACTAAATGCAAAGAAAAGAGCTACAAGAAAATCAGATTTCCTTTTTAATGGTTGTCTTTGAATGATTAGCTTGTTTTTATTTTTCTAGGTTTCCAGATGTATTTTCAAATAGAATTCCAAATATATTATCTAGAGTGTTTAATTCAAAAAATTTAAATGACCATCATACCTAGACACTTCAGATAGTGGTTGGGGTAGAGGTGGGCTACAGACAAGTACACAGATGGTATTGGAACAACCGGATAGTCACAAGCAAAAGAATAAAGTAGGACCCCTACCTTACACCATATACAGAAATTAACTCAAAATTTATCAAAGACTAAATGTGAGACCTAAAACTACAAAACTCTTAGAAGAAAACATAGACATAAATCTTCATTACCTTGGATTAGACAATGGTTTCATAGATATAACACCAAAACACCACCACCACCAAAAAAAATAGATAAATTGGACTTGTAAAAATTAAAAATTTTATGCTTCAAAAGATATTGTCAAGCAAGTGAAAAGGGGAGAAACATTTTTCAAATCATATATCTATTATGAGAGTTATGTTCAGAATATAAAAAAATCCTACAATCAAACAATAAAAAGAAAAATAACGCAGTTTAAAAATGGGCTATAGATTTGAACAGACATGCAAAGAAGATGCACACTTGGCCAATAAGTACATGAAACAGTGTTTGACATTATCAGTCATTAAAAAATGCAAGTCAAAATTACAATGTGATATTCTTTCACACATTCACAGCAGAATGTGTCTTATGGAAAAGATAGTAACAAGTGTTGGTGAAGATGTGGAGAAATTGGAATGCTCATACATGGCTGGTAAGAATGTAAAATGGAGAGGTTACTTTGAAAACAGTTTGGCAGTTCCTCAAAGAGTTAGACAACATGTAATTACTATACGACTCAGCAATCCCATCTGTAGGTATATACCCAAGGGAACATAAAACATAAGTTGATACAAAAAATGTACATGAGTGTGAATAGCAGCATTATTCATAATAGCCAAAATAAATGGAAACATCCATGTCCATCGCCTAATGAATGGATAAACAAAATGTGGCGCATCCACACAATGGAATACTCTTTTGGAAATAAAAGGAAGTAAAGCACTGAAAAATCCACAGCACAGACGAACCTTGAAAACATTATGCTAAGTGAAAGAAACCAGACACAAAAAGGCCATTTATTGTATGATTCTATATATTTTTGAAATATCCAGAATAGGCAATTCCTAGTGACAGACAGTTAGATACATGGTTTCCAGGGACTGGGAGAAAGGTGAATAGCTCCTAAGGGGTATGAGATTCCTTTTGGGGATGATGAAAACATGCTAATATTATGGAGTGGTGATGGTCATGCAAGTTTGTGAATATAGTAAAACCCCCTGAATTGTACTGTTGAAAAGGGTGAATTGGGGGTATGTAAATTACATCCAAAAATAGAAAAAGAGAAACACATACATAAAACAATAACAAAAAAACCCCTACATATTTGAATCCTATTAACACATTCCTGTACAGGATGAAATTAGGGTAAAAAACGGGAAAAAAAAGGGCTTCCCTGGTGGCGCAGTGGTTGAGAATCTGCCTGCTAATGCAGGGGACACGGGTTCGAGCCCTGGTCTGGGAAGATCCCACATGCCGCGGAGCAACTGGGCCCGTGAGCCACAACTACTGAGCCTGCGTGTCTGGAGCCTGTGCTCCACAACAAGAGAGGCCACGACAGTGAGAGGCCCGCGCACTGCGATGAAGAGTGGCCCCCGCTTGCCACAACTAGAGAAAGTCCTTGCACAGAAACGAAGACCGAACACAGCCAAAAATAAAATAAATAAATAAATTAAAAGGAGGCTCAACATTAAAAAAAACGGGAAAAAGGAATCAAAAAATGCTGGATGAACCTCCAGCTCTGACATTTATTAGCAGTCACTAAACCAGTGTGATGGTCAGTATTTTTACATGTTAAATGCAAATATTGCTTCTTCCCTCCTAGCTTGGGGATAAGGAATAAATGTTGCAGTCAATAACTGCTAGCTAGTTTGTGATACATTCCTTTGAATCACACTCAGAAACAGAAAATGGGTCAATAGACAGTGGTTCTAGCCCAGTCATTGGTCATGGACAAATGTCCTTAATTCTACACCAGATATTTCCAGGATTGGCAGCCCCTAAAATATACGTGCCATGGAAAGTTAACATAAAAGACTCCCCTAACAGAAAATAGCTTTATCCAGGACAATCTTGGAGCTAAGGGCTCCCATTTGTGTCCCAAGCCACACTTCTCAGAGCCAACTGGCATTTCTCAAAGATGCGTTTAAAAGGTTCATCTTACATACTTTGCAACTGCTGAATATAAAGGGAATGATTTCCTTAGATTTATGAGATGGGGGAAAAGTTCACAGTGAAATATGAAGGAAGCTGAAAAGGCTAAGCAAATATCTGTCAAACTAAAACATGGGGAGAGAGCACAGCAGATATTTCAAGAAATACAGTCAAAAGATGCAGTGGCATGGGCAGAAGATAATGAATAGGAATTGTTTCAGAGAAAGGAACCAATGGGAAATTAGGCTAAATTTAGAGCAAGATGATCTATGAGATGTTTGAATAATGTCTCTGGAGAAATACAGAAATGTCTACTGTTTTTCTTTAATTTTTTTCCCAAACAGACACTGGGTATAGATCTTGTAAAATAATGCTAGTATATTTTAGGGACTGGGTTTGGTGGTGTTTATTCTGCATTTGCTTCTTCTACCCTAAAAGAAGCAGTGGGGCCAGTCTAAGGGTGGCATTCAAAATTTCAGAGGAGGGCTTCCCTGGTGGCGCAGTGGTTGAGAGTCCGCCTGCCGATGCAGGGGACACGGGTTCGTGCCCCGGTCCGGGAAGATCCCACATGCTGCGGAGCGGGGGGGCCCCGGGAGCCATGGCCGCTGAGCCTGCGCGTCCGGAGCCTGTGCTCTGCAACAGGAGAGGCCGCAACAGTGAGCGGCCCACGTAACCCCAAAAAAAAAAAAAAAAAAAAAAAAAAAAAAAATTCAGGGGAAGTTATTCCAGAGACTTCCACCAGTGTGAAAATGCAGGAGCACTTTGTTTTAGAGAGCCTACTGGGGTGGGATCTCTTATTTCGAGCTCCCATGTAGGACCGACACTCTGTTGGCCCTGTAATATCTACCATTAATTTTCTCCTGAGGAGCTCAATGCTTCCCAGCAATAACAAGCAAGTAATTCAAACTAATTGGGGAGGAGGCCAGTGTCAATGAATGAAGAGCTTAAATTATAGTCCTTCAAAGAGAACACTGGGTGCTTTTTCCCCTGCTGTCTTTAAGTTCCAAGAGTAAGTTGAACTAAAATAAAGCATTGTTTGTTAAGGGTGTGCTTGAAAAATGTGTTTTAATGAACTGCCAAGAATTATTTGTAATTGCCATCATTGTCTGTATGTAAACGGTGTTTCAAAGGGATTAAAACATTTTGTTTTAATAGTTTAAATGCTTCTCTTGAAATATTGTTTACATTCTTGGTCAACAAACTTTTTTTCCATCAATAAAATAAACTTTAAAAGATTCTCCGAAGATTGATAGTAGACCAAATCTTTTGTCCTTCTAGTTGAAAAATACTAAGTATGGATACTGAATAATGAGTTTTTACAGTTTGTCATTATTTTTAATTGATCCAGAGAATTTACACCATAACCATCATTCCTTGTTTAAGGTGTATATCCAACATATTTAGCTTTTATCAATGACATGAATTCATAAGATTAGGAGGGTGTGTGGAAAGGCACTGGGGCAGGGAATTTTTTTCTTTTTTGGCCGCAGGGTGCAGCATGTGGGATCTTAGTTCCCCGACCAGGGATGGAACGTGTGCCCCCTGCATTGGAAGTGTGGAGTCTTAACCACTGGACGACCAGGGAAGTCCCTAGGGCAGGGATTTTGACTCCTGTGCTCTATTCTCAGCCCCCTGGGGAATTAATGTGAATCTTCGGGCAAGACTTTTAAAGCCTCAGACCCCACTCATGTCATCTGCAGAACAGGGAGATTTTACTAAATACATGATGTGGATTTTACTAACTCACCTACACTCTCCATACTGTAAAATGATTTACAATGGCTTCAAGGTCTCTAAGGTTTTCCAAGGCTAGATTCTATAATTCTTTGATTACATTTGTAGATGGAGAAATTGGAAATGGAAAGGTTAGTACAACAGAAATGACAGTCTATCTCTCCCGGGGCTCAACTGGCTCTAGGTCACATCAAGTGTGTTTTCCTGTTCCTATCCAACCAGTTCAACTGGACTGCCAGTATCAATGCACAAGAAGAATGAGTATATGTAATTATGTTAAGGAGCTATGCAGAGTCTCTAAAGAGAGGGAAACTGAGGAAGAGTAAATGGTTGTATGAGGACTGTCTAGGGCATGGGTTTCCTATGACTTCACTACAACCTGTAAGCACTAAAACACAGCACATGGGGAAAACATAAGTTTCTACTGTACCTTTTCTGCAAAAGGGCCCTTCGTACGGTGAATTGGTGCAGTCGCAGAAGTACCCATTGTGCTTCTCCACACACTTGCCTCCGTTGTGGCAGATGCGGCCGTAACTGCTGCAATGGCCCGGGCATCCGGGCCGGACTCCAGACGTGACCTTTGCCCTCTCCTCCAGGTCCAGTTTCTGCCCATTCAAGCGTAAGGAGCGTATGCATCCTAGGAAGCCTTTCTGTCTTGATGATGTTCCCCCTGTGCAGTGAAAAATAAAAGGAAAAAATATATATAAGGTACAGGGTTCACATTTTTGAAGTTTAATAGCACTGGTGATAGTTAATTATTGTGCTGTTGGCATCCTGTGTTGGGCTTTTCTATTAGTTTCCGGTGAGAATTAGGAATTCAAAGAACCTGGGGGAAAGGCATGTGTTTTCTGGCTGGAAAATGAACTTCCCCACTCAAAAAATAGATAAATAAAAGACTGTGATTCATGTGGAATACTGTACTTGACATGTTTAAGATATAAAACTTCAGATGGCCCCATTCCTTGCAAATAAAATTAAATGTGCTCTTTGTCTATAGCAGACATTTATCTGAAGGTGAATGCACAGAGTGGAAGTGTCCCTCTGGTGAAGTTAGAAGCAAGGTAGGTTAGGTGCACTGAGTTAGAAAAGGCAATGAGTGTTGTAAAGCTTATGCAGGAGAGTGTCATGTACTATGAAGAGGTGTATGTTAGTACCGGACAGACATGGTGTCAAACTACATGCCAGTAGCCCATTAGACATAATGACCACTGGATCCCCTAAGCCTCAGCTCCTTGATCTGTAAAATAAGAATCAGTCTATTTCATGTGTTCATGGTAAGGCTTAGTAATTATTGGTCTTCACTATCCCTTCTCTTGAGCCCTCAAAATGGCTAGAACTAGTAGGTTGTATATATATACATACTATTGATTACCCCCAAATTATTATTTAGAAAATAAATTTTTCCTTCTGGAATACAGAATAGAATTGCAACCCAACTTTCTGCTGTGGGTATATCTTGAAGGTTTCAGCGAGATTCACAATGCTTGTTGCAAATTATTTAAGAACAGAGGAGATTCAAAGTGACAGAGTGTTTTTTTACTGTTGGAAACCTAGAATCCTACCAACCTAAATCAGAGGATATTAGAAAAATGTGTAAGGAGAGACAACACGCCAAGAAATAAGCCAAATTCCAACACCATATTGATTTGGTGTTGGGAATTCTGGGAGCTCCCAGAGAAGACACAGGGCCAGCCTGCCATTACAAAACACAAATTCTAATTGAAATATAATGCTTTGGCCTCAAGTCCATTCAAGTGGATAAATGGAGGACACACTCAAGTCTTCAAGGTCTACAGAGTGTCCTAATGGAAAGGAGAAGGTGTTAGAAAACAAGGGCAGTCAATATTAGGACAGAGTGTGAGTGTGTTTCGTGTTTGGTAATTGCAATCATTGTTGCTTTTGTTGTGGTCATCCATTTACAATGCTTGGTGTCAGTTTATTTATCTCTTGTAAAAATAAAATACTGTGGTGTGTGTGTTATATGTATGATAGTCATTGGCTGCCTCTAAAAGACTGAAACAAAATGTTTTTAAAGAATTAATCTAGTCTCTTATTCTGAAGGAGTGATAAAACTCCACTCTATTTTCAGTTCTGATAAGTGATACCCAAGCAGACCAGAAGGTCAAACCCACATTGCTTTCTCCTGTCTGTCTCAATTTTAGTGAGTAAATCTCCTTTTAACTACAAGATAAATCAATTATAAATACAAGCAGATCATAGGGAAAGCTTCATTATTTCTTTCCTAGAGATGGTGTAGAATAAAGAGAGGAGGATTTATGTAGTCAAATGTTTTGTTTTATTTTCCCCTTTATTTTGTAGTCACTCCGTGTGGTGGATTAGAATAACTCTTCATAAATCTTGTTAGTGGCATTTTTCTTCTAAGCAGAAGTGGAGAATGCAAGATCTATTGCAAATCTGCTTGCATGTGACTTAGTCAACACGTTTATAAACAGAGGAGTAGCTGGGGTGGTTTTTCTGGCAGAAATACATTCCTTGATGTTTGAGACATATAGAGTATGGTGAAAATGACCCCAAACAAGGGGATCCTTTCAATCCTAGATGCTGATAAAACACAATGACACAAAGAACGTGAACCAAATTGCGCAATGAACTAAATTTCCATTTTTGCCTGACTGCTTTTTATTCTTTTTATTCTTTAGAGGTTAGGCTCCCCTTTCTTCATGGAAAGGTAATATTGTAGACCAAGAATAGAATGCTTCTAGAAAGATGCTTCCCACCCACACACACCCAATCCAGTGGTTAGCACTCTCCATTTTCTGACATTACCTACTATGAGTTGTGTTGATGGAGGTGAGAATCTTCCCTGAAACTTGAATACTGTACAGAAAGGCAGCCCCAATCTTCCCTCCCCTTTCTCACTCACAGCCCTTTGCCCCCAACTCTGTCCTGTGGATATGACCTCCCAGCTATCTCCGAATCAATCTGCTTCTTCCCACACCAAGAGCCATGTCTTGAATCCCTCTCACCCTCACTTGAATCCCTTAAACTGAAACAGGCTGGGACCTGGGACCTGGGAACCTTTGCTGCAGTACTTGCACCTGGACAAACATCTCCTCAAGCAACAGACACAAAGAAACTATGAGGGACTAAAAATAACTGCGTGCATGTGCAGCTGGGGCAAATTCTGGACAAGAAGATACAAAAAGACCAAAAAGCTCAACTGCCACTTCTGAACAGCTCGGAGCAAAAGCAGGGCACTGCGTGTGCCCCCTGCATACAGCACCACTGAAGCGTGGGCAAACCACCTAAGTCCCAGTAAAGCCTTGCCTGAATTTCTTGTGTGGCCTCTATAGTCAATTTCTATTGATTGGTGCAGGCCAAGAACCCTGGTCCGTATCAGCACCACCTTCTAACGGATCTCACTACGCTTGACTCCTTCCACAGACTCACCACTTTGCAATCAGAGAGACCAAACAGATGTGAACATTTGATCCTGCTAGTCCTGTTTAATGCCCTTCAGAGACTAGTCATCATCCTGAGGTTCAAGCTCAACTCCTTACCTAGAAGGTACTGCATAGATCTGGCCTCTGCTTACCTATTCATCCCCTCCTCCTGCACTCCCTGCCCTGATTTCAGTGCACCAGGCTTTCTGAACTACAGTGTCTCCCCACTGACCATGGTCTCTCTCAACTTCGGACCTACTCCTGTCCTGTGTGTTTTTTGTTTTTTTGTTTTGTTTTTTTTGTGGTACATGGGCCTCTCACTGTTGTGTCCTCTCCCGTTGCAGAGCACAGGCTCTGGACGCACAGGCTCAGCGGCCATGGCTCACAGGCCCAGCCGCTCCGCAGCACGTGGGATCTTCCCAGACTGGGGCACGAACCCTTGTCCCCTGCATCGGCAGGCGGACTCTCAACCACCGCACCACGAGGGAAGCCCTGTCCTGTGTATTTATGTGGTGTATTACACACACCTTTCCCCTTACTCTCCACTGCTCAATCTAGTCCATCCCTGCAATCACAAACACACACACTGGCACTCACACACATGCGTCCCTTCATCAATATTTCTGCCTACCCAGGATTTATTTTAATTAGTTGCCAATGTTTTTAAAACATGAACTACTTGAAATCTAAAAAAAAAAATAATGATACAAATGAACTTATTTACAAAACAGAAATAGACCCACAGACACAGAACACACTTATGGTTACCAAATGGGTGGGGGTGGGGAGGAATAAATTAGAAGTTTGGGATTGACATACACACACTACTATATATAAAACAGATAAACAACAAGAACCTACTGTATAGCACAGGGAACACTACTCAATGTTTTATAATTACGTATAAGGGAAAAGAATCTGAAAAATGAGTATATATATATGTATAACTGAATCACTTTGCTGTATGTACACCTGAAACTAGCACAACATTGTAAATCAACTATACTTCAATTAAAAAAAAAAAAAAAAAGACCGTGCCCTTATGTTAGCACTGGGCTTGGCACAGAGTTAATTAATTAATTAATTTAATTAAATAGAACATGAACTATTTAAAAAATTCTAGTAAGTCATTCATTGAAAAATCAGAAAACCTGTTAACAATGAAGCTGCTTTCCTGCATGACAAAGCCCAGCTGCACTGGGAGAAGTTCCTGTAAGACAGGACATGCCCTTTCCACTTGGCCACGTTCCCCACCAGGACCACTTCATTCATTTAGACTGCTTTCCTGACCCTTGCAGGTATTTGAATTTTCAGCTAATGCTCTAATATATTTTTTATCTCCTTCTTGCCTAGAGTTGAAAGAAGAACAAAAATAAATGTAGCATTATCCTTAAAGCAGATGACAGTCATGTTTGGGAGTCTTGTACTTAATCTGCAAGCTGTTTAAGAATCCAAACATTGCTTCTAATTCTAAAAAAAAAAAAAAAACATACTTACTGTATGCTAGAAACTTTATAATTAACTCATTCAATACTCAGTGGGAAACAAGTTATTCATATTATTGACATTCATATTATTGACATTCCATAGTTGAGGAAACTTAGTGTCAGAGAGATTGTTTTGGCCAAAGTCAAGAATCAAATTGGGGCTTCCCTGGTGGCACAGTAGTTGAGAGTCCGCCTGCCGATGCAGGGGACACGGGTTCGTGCCCCGGTCCGGGAAGATCCCACATGCCGCGGAGCGGCTGGGGCCCGTGAGCCATGGCCACTGAGCCTGTGCATCCGAAGCCTGTGCTCCGCAACGGGAGAGGCCACAACAGTGAGAGGCAAAAAAAAAAAAAAAAAAGAATCAAATTGATTTTACGTGGCAGAGCCAGAAGTCTGACTGAGATCCCTTGACCTTCAAAGCCTGAATACCTTCAAAGCCGTAAAATCCTAAAATGAGATATTTGATTAGACAAGATTGAAATGGAGCAAGATCTTATGGTCCTGCCTGCCCTCATATTCTCTGCCTACCTCTTGTCTGTAGAAAAATTTAGTCAAAGAATAAATTTAATCAGAGAAGTGAGAAAATGCAGAAGTGAAGAAAAACAGTCAAACAGGACAAAATAATAATTGTTTAGTCATTAAGCAAAGTCAAGGACCTTTAGTTCCTCTTCAAGGGCTATGGATAATATTCTGAGCCGTATCCTGTGAGATGTTTTGTAGATACTGAAACCCCAACCAGGTGGAAGAAGTTAACTACATGATGACCAGATTGTAGCCAT